GGACATTTTTACCTATTTGCATAATTTAAATACGAATAATGTTTTGTGTATAATCCATGATTGACAAGGAATTTGACAATCCATATTAATTCAAATTCGAATGGGCGGGAGAGTGTGTGGTGTTTAAAAACTGGCCACTCAATCTTCAACACGTGGCATATTGTCAAACTTGATGTCAAAAAAATTGTACTTGTAGCATGATTGATTTAATTAATTAATTAAGTTTGAGGCCTTCTTTGGTTCTCATTTTTTTTCAAAATACATTTTTATCTCTATTCTTTTCAATCACACATTCTTCATTAAAATAACATTACACGTAAATTTAAAATTTTTTCCTTCTTTTCTAACCACACATTCTCTATCAATTTACTATTCCAAAATACATTTTTAAAAGAGAACGGGGCTCAAACACGCCCTAAACTTATTTAGATTCGATCCACACAAACATAATTAATCAAGTTTGGTATAAAACATCGAGATTTCTAGGTCCCCATACAAAAATAAGGGATTATGGCTATGTTTCTGGAACATTTTACTTGATGTTATGTGCTAACAAATATATGGTGGGAGAATAAGATATTAATTTTATGAAACTTAAAAGAGTAATGATATGGTAACATTCAAAATTAAGTAATGTAATTAAGTGTTGGCATAGAATAATACACGGTATCAGTTGTGCTTGTTGATCCAAAAAAAAAAAAAAAGTATCAATGATGTGACCAACAAATCACAAGGCTTCTTACATCCACGCAAGCTGGATTTCTACACACTTGAACAAACCGTTAGTCACACGTGGCCTCCACCGGAAGGGATGGAGTTGGTCGCGCGCACTCCGAAGGTCAAGTCAGTTGGAGAAGTACTTTATGGGAGAGCTTTTAACGTGAGCCTCCAAAGTAAAACGGGTCGACTTTGGGGGCAAGAATATAGTTTTAAAAGTCTAGACTTGCATTATCTTTGAATGCCACTAAGTGTGAGTTTTTATATTTGAGTTTGGCGAATAAGGGCCGTTAGATAGCAATGCTCGTGGCCACATCCAGATGACTGGCATCTCTTGTCAATGACATCAATCAATCTCAGTCTTAAATGCCACATAGCATGCGGCCGCAGACTTGACCAAGCAAATAGGCGGCGATGGCAGTGACATGTCTTGTCAATCATATACTACAAAATCCGCTTAAGATCTCCTTGCTGCCTCACTTCGGATCGATTCTTCCCATGGGGTCTGCCCATCATAGAGTCGGTTCGGTTTTGCTGTCATCCGAACCTGATGCCCCCCCCACGCCACCCCACCCCACCCCAAGGTTAGGGCGTGGGACCTTCGAATCGATCTCCTCGTAGATCAATTGAGTCCACGTGTGGGTCCTAGTTTGCAAGGTGTAACAGTGCTTGATATTGATTTATGTGGACAGTGGAACCATTGATCACGTTGTTCAAAGAATAAAGAATAAATATGCATTTTAATATCACTGAACAATACGATAATAGCTCCATTGTCAAATAAATCGGTACTATTGCGATGTAGCATTACGAGTAATATTATCCAACATTAGCAATATTTAATATCAATCTATGTGGTACTACATGATAAATGAAATTTAATTGCCCAGACTAAAGTCAAATGCGATGTCAAAAACCAAAAAGACTGAAGTTAAACGTCACTAAAGGCTCTATTTGATAAGACTTTTGTAAAGTCAAAACTGTTTTTGAGATTAAGAAGACGCTATTGATCATGCTTGGATAAACTTCTAAAATTGT